ACGGTGCTGTCTGCCTGCAGACAGCGGCCGGGTTTGTGGGGGAGGCTCGCTGGAGCCTCCAGCCAGGCACTCGCCCTCCTGCCAGGGCTCCTGCGGTGCCCGAGGTCCTGCCTTTCCCCGGGCAAGAGCTCAGCCTCAGCAGTTGCCTTTTCCCAAAACCCCGGACGTGCTGGGCGGCCCCGGCTGCCTCCTAACACCATGCTCTCCCCAGGGCTACCCCGGACCTGCCGGCGACCGCGGGAGGCCAGGGCGCAGGGGAGACAAGGTAGGGCTGGGAAATCCAGCACAGCAGTGAGAGGATGCGCTGGCGTGGGAGTCCAGGCTTTGGAAACATTTTTGGGTTGGGCTGTTGAACCCAATGGATAGGTTTGGGTGGGATCCGCGGACGGTGTAAAAGTTAATGGTAACTGATGCAATTTGCGGGGGTTTTAGTAATCATATCCCTACCATCCCTTAGCCTTGCTTTCTTAAACGCTCATGCACATTGAACAGAGGTATCCATTGATACATATTTGGGTTTTTTTGTTTTGTTTTGTTTTTCCCTTAAGAGGTTACTGCATTAAAACATACGGAGGAAAGGAAATCTTTCTTGCCTCCTAACAGGGAGAAATGGGAGCCCGAGGCCCACTGGGATTTCCAGGAAAAGCTGGCCCCAAGGTGAGTGCTGTTCGCTGCTGCCCTGGGCAGCTCCAGCCCCCATCGGCGAAGCACTGAGCAAGTCACCTTTGCTGGGCTGGGTATGGGAAAATGGGAAATCTTTGTCACCGGCATCAAGGGGCTAAACTAGGGAGAGGGGAGCAGTCAGGGCTGCGGCACGGGGCTCTGATGGCTCTCTCCTCCCCCAGGCCGTGCCAGGTCCCCCCGGTCCACGCGGCGCTCCCGGCTCCCAGGTAGGGCTCGCCGTGCTCCCCGCGTGCCTGGCTCGCTCCGCTCCCTCTGCTGCGGTCCTCTGCGGATGGGCAATACTCTGCAATATATACCGTGTGCTACCTATAGCATTAGCAGCATGGATCCCGGACCCCTTTGCGCTTGTTGCTGGCTGGGTTTTGTCCTGATGTTGCACAGACACCGTTGAAGTGGCCTGGGCACATGGGGATTGTCCGAGCGAAGCCCCTCCCTGCTCTGGGTCCCCTGTGCGTTCTTGCCATGACCACGCTGCTGAGCATCCTTCTTGTTTCAGGGCAGAGCGGGAGACCCGGGTCCTCGAGGGCTTCCAGGGCTGCCTGTAAGTGGGAGAGCTGTAGCTTGCAGCGAGGCTCCGTAGG